TCCTTTCTCGTATGTTTTAAGTTACGTCATAGTTGTTTGTAGTATTACTATAGATATAGAGGGTCGGGCTACACGTTGCAACAGATATTGATATGATGTTTGGGATCGGGTTGCACACTGTAATGGTATTAATGTTATATTTGGGATCGAGTTCTACGCCACAACGGATATTGATATTGTATTTGGGATCAGGTTGCACGCTGTAATGGATATTGATATTGTATATTGTATTTGGGATCGGGTTGCACGTCACAACAGATATTGATATTGTATGTGGGATCGGATTGTACGTCACAACGGATATTGATATTGTATTTGGGATCGGATTGCACGCTGCAATGGATATTGATATTGTATTTGGGATACGATTGCACGTCACAATAAATATTGATAATGTACGTGGGATCGGATTGTACCCTGCAATAGTACTAGTATATATAAATGTGTGGATCAAGTTGCGCGCTGCAACGGAGAAGATATATATTATGGTTGTTCTTGGTTGTTGGTTCCTTATCCCTATTGTGCTGTGAATTCGGGTGTAGATGATATTCTGGGGCCCTCTCTTATGTATTTCATATTTCGGTTTTCATGTTAATCGTTGATTTTCTATTCTGTTATTGTTTTACTTAAATTCGTACATGTTTATAGTGAGTTCCTTGCTATAGCCTCATTATTATTTCGTCGAGGTTAGGCTCGACACTTACGGAGTACATGAGATCGGTTGTACTGATACTACACTTGTATACTTCTTGTGCAGATTTTGGTGTTTGTCCCAGTGGTGTTTAGTGGAGACTTGCTCAAATTGTCATTATCCGGAGACTTGAAGTAGAACTGCATGGCGTTCGCGGACCCTGAAGTCACCTTCTTATCTTTAATACTGTTTATTTCGTTCAAACAGTTGCATTTTACTTCAGACCTTGTTTGTAGTACTTTTAGCAGTTCATGTACCTATGACACCAGTTTCTTGGTGTAGACTAGACAGTGTTGATTTATATTATTATGTTACGAGTATTTCAGACTTATATTCTTAATCATTTACTTTTAAACTATTAAAATTGATTAAGTGTTTAACTAGTGTTGGCTTTTCTAGCAACACGACCAAGTGGTTGGGATTTCGGGTCGTGACAAAAAGTTTTATCTTAGTCGATTTCTTCCTATTGTGAGTATCCTTGCGCGACCAATCTTGCCTTGTTACGTACTACTTGTCCTGAATCGTTTAGTTCATTTCTGAATACCTACTTTGTTCCTACAATTGATGCACCAGATGGTTTTGGAACCAAATTCCACACTTTGTTTTCTCAAATTGTTCAAGCTTTTCTTTTATAGCTTTAACTAGTGGTCATCCTTGAGTGCTTCATGCACTTTCTTTGGCTCAAGTTGGGATATGAGAGCCACATGAGAGTTCAACTTCTAAGATCTTATGGTACTAATGCCTTCTTGATGATTTTCCAATCATAAACTTCTCGGGGTATACATGCTCACCTTTCCATTCGTTAGGAACCATTTCAACATCAATTTCAACTCTTTCATGGATTAGTTCAGGAGTGGAAGAGGTTTCTTTTGCAGGTTCCTTAGTAGTTGACTAAGTTTTCTACTGTGTTGAGTTTTCAATGTCATTTTTAGTGACTTGAAGTGTGTTTGGAATACCTGTAATTTCTTCTTCTTCTTCTTCTTCTTCTTCTACTATTGTTTTAACAATCTCAAAACGAGGGTTAGTATCAATGAATACTACATGAATAGATTCTTCTACGACAAGAGTATGCTTATTGTAAATTCAATAAGCTCAACTGGAGAGGAAGTATCCAAGAAATATACCTTCGTCACTTCTTGGGTTTAACTTACCAATTTGTCCTTGCCATTGTTATGAACAAAATATTTGCATCAAAATGGATGAAAATAGCTTACATTTGGCTTTTTGCCTTTCCAAAGTTCATAAGGAGTCTTCCTCAAGATGGGTCTGATCATGCATCTGTTAATAATGTGGGAGACTATACTTACTACTTCTACCCAGAAGTAATGTGGTAATGAACTTTCTACAATCATGTTATGGCCATGTCTTGAAAAGTTCTACTCTTCATTTCAACTACTCTATTTTGTTGAGGAGATCTTGGGGATGAAAACTTGTGTGTGATTCAATGCTCATTGCAGAAGGCTTCAAAGGCATTGCTTTCAAATCCCCATGCATGATCGCTTCTTATATTAGAGATGTAGTAACCTCTTTCACAATGGACTTTCTTGCAAAAAACTTCAAAACTTTTTGATTCCTCATCCTTGTGACTTAAGAAAATAACCTAGGTGAAGCGAGAGTAATCATTAACTATAACAAAAGCATACTTCTTGCCATTTATGCTAGATGTCCTGGTAGGCCTAAAAAGGTCCATATGCAGTAGTTGCAAAGGTTTTGAAGTGGAAACCATGTATTTTGTTTTAAAAGAAGATGTGGTCTATTTACCGAGTTGACATGCATCACAAATATGATCTTTTGAAAAATTTAGTTTTGGAAGACCGATGACCAAATTTTGGTTTGAAAATTTTTCAATGGAATGCATGCTAGCATGACCTAATTTCCTGTTTCATAACCAAGGATCATCAATCATGGATTCTAAGCAAATATGATTTTCAAGATTGTCTATTTTGCTAAGAGTGTAAACATTTTTGTCTGTATTTCCAGAAATAATTAAATTACCTGATTTATTTATAATAGACCAGCCAATCTTTTTAAAGTTGCTGCCATGTAACTAGAAGGTAACAGATTCAAGCCGTGGAAATAGTCTCTTATAGAAATGCAGGTAAGGCTACATACTATAGACCCTTATGGTCCGGCCCTTTCCCGTACCCCGTGCATAGCGGGAGCTTAGTACACCGGGCTCCCTTTGTTTTTTTAGACCAGCCAGTCTTTTTAAAGTGTACCTCATAGTCATTGTCACATAGCTGACTGATGCTAAGCAAATTTTACCCTAGTTCATCCACAAGGTATACGTCATCTACATCGCATGATGAGCTCAACAGAATTTTACCAACTCCAATGAGATTTCCTTTGGAATTGTCTCCAAAAGTGACCGATCCTCCACTAGTTTTGTGACATATTTGAAAAGTTGTTTGTCACATGTTATGTGCCTGGAAGATGCACTGTCAAGATATCACTTTCCTTTTCTAATTTTCTTGCGGTGTTCCTACAACACAAGCAAATCACTTTCTCCTAAGTACACAAACTTTCTTGGGTCCTTTTGGTTAGCTTTAGATGTGGTACCCTCAGAGGTTGTTTTGAGTCGCGAAACCCACTCTTTTTTGTTTCTAAACCTGCAGCGATTAGAAATATGACCGGATTTACCATAATAAAAACATGCAGGAAAGCTTTGTTCAGATCCTTCATGGGATCCAGCAAGAAGTTTCTTTTTGGAACCTATGTGATTAGTGACTTATTTGACTGGTTGATTTTCTTAATCCATTTAACTGTAGCTGGAGTTCATAGACTTCTTTTTAAAATATGTCTTTTTTAATTTTACAAAGTTCTAGTTTTAGTTCCCATTCCTTTTTTCTCTTTGAATCTTTTGGAGTACATAAAGAACTTTTTCAATATCAATGAGAGATAAATCAATAAATTCTTGAAGTTCATTGCATATATGACAAAGAATTCCCTTACTGTTTTCTCCGATTGCCATCAGACATAGATTTGCATTTTCCTCATTGTCTGATTTATTGTTATCGCATTCACCTAGTGCCAAGAAACACATGTTGGTTATTTCTTCACCGTCAGATTCTTCTTCATCGCTCCATGTGCCAAAGGATTTCTTCTTCTGAAAACTTTTGTTGATTTTCTTCCTTAGATCTAGGAATATCAACTTGTATATGAACATATTTCCAACACTCATAGTATCTTCCATCATTTGTTTCATTTTCACTTGACGGTCTTCCTTTTCTAACAAACTGCTTGACCTTTTTCCCGTATTTGGTTCTTCTCATCATGTTTGATACCACCCTTGATAATATTACTATGTTTTCATCTTCCTCTGCTCCTCCTCCTCCTCTTTCTTTCTTTTTCATTTTCAGATTCCACTACAGTGGCTTTGAATGCCACACTCTTCTTCCTTTTTCTTTTCTTGTACACGCCTGTTTAAATGAGTCTTTTCAAAGGCTACAAGGTCTCCACATAGTTTGTCATAGGAGATTTTGTCGATATCTTTGACATTCTAAGGTAATGACCTAAGGTTGCCACACAATAGGTAGACTCCTTAGAATTTTCCTGCCTTATTCTCGGCTTTTCAGTAGTCTCCCAAATGATTTTAAATCTCCAACAATTTTACTGAATCGAGAGAACATCTCTTCAATAGATTCTCCCTCTTTCATTTGAAATAATTCATAATCATGAATCATAAGATTTATCCTGGTTTCCTTGACTTTGTTTGTCCCTTCATAAGTGACTTCAAGTTTGTTCCATATAATTTTGCAGTTTCACATCTTGATATTTTCTCATAATCTTCTCCACTTATGGCATTAGAGAGGAGATTTTTTACTTTAGCATTTACCTGAACAATGGCAGCATATTCATCAGTGTAGTCATCTAAATCAATGGGATCATATGATACATGGCTTTCAGTGGTTTTGTCCATTTTTGCTGATGGAAAAGAGAGATCTCCTTTTTTATCATGCGCCAGACATTAATGTCATATGATTTTGCATATGTTTCCATACACACTTTCTAATGTGAGAAATGCATTAAAGTAGGGTCCTCTTGTTTGAGAGGTTCCTTTTTGAAAGAGTGCTCTGATAACTGTGTTAGATCCAATGATCTTTTACTCATTTGTGGTTAAGAAAATTGTATTGTTGTTAGACCTTTCTCTTATACCAATTGAAATACAATAGGGGAGGGGTGAATTGTGTCCAAAAAAAACTTAGGTGACTAATTTAATATTAGTCGACTCTTTTCCCTACAGGCAATAGGTTAGAGCAAAATAGCAGTAACGAATATTTATGTAAAAAGAAATAAAGAAGGCACTGAATATTATACTGGTTCGTGTACCGGTGTGGTACCTTCATCCAGTTCCCTTGGGTCACAAGGGTTCTCTTAGTTCTTCAAAGATAATGTGTTATAACAGTTATGGTTTCTTTCGTTCACCACAAACGATGTACAATTAAACGTTTCCCAAGTTCTTGACGCAACCTCTTGGCTGTTTTCTATTTCTTTCTATCTTTTGTGACACTAGCAAACTCAAGAATACAATATTTTAACTAAAAACTAGAAAGATGTAGAAAGCTTGTATATTGAAGCTTCGTGTGTTCTCTGATTTTCTGAGTTCTTCATATAGGCAGGTCTTGAGTTATCTCGGTCACCAAAATCTTTATTGTTTTCAAGCGAGATTGAAAAATATCCATTGATTGAGACAAGATATTTTCTAAGAGATTTGACCCAAGGGATGCCTATGAATCCAGTCAATAGATGTGGACTGAATTCATATGCCAAACTCTGTTTCCTTTCTTGTGTTTGCCATATCTTCAGGATGGATTTTCGGATAGTTAGTTGATTGAGAGTTGATCACTCGATCATTTTCCGCTAGTAAATCCATCTTCCATCTACTAAGTTGTTTGATTGATGCTCCTTCGAATGTCTTATGGTCTCGGATCTTGTGCATTAGTTTGCTTTTCCTCTTGTTTTGATTTCTTGAATCTAGACGGACCATTTGCATCACTTGCATTTCTTTCCTTTCTATTTTCCTGTATAGATTTGAATGAGATGAGTATTTCTATTATTGAGAAAGTCATCATTAAAACTCAGTGTAACAATAATATCTCCAATAGCAATGCAATCTTGTTCACTCGATTTTATGCAATACAATTGGTATTGGTTCACAAAGTATACGGAAGTATACATGGTCCACAACTAGTAAAGTAATTTAAAAGTCTAATGTCAAACCCGCAAAAACTTAAATTAATAGCTACAATAACCAGGTTAAAAAAATTGGCATCCTCGGTAAACAACCGTGATTCAAAGAAAATCCGAGATAAATCTAAGAAAAATACTACACTAATGCGTTATACAATTACAGTAGACTCAAGTCATAATCATCATATATATATCAAGAAACAAGAAACACATAAATCAAGAATATTAGTTAAAGTACATGCCAATCACAAAAAGTCTGACATCCCTACCCCACACGTAAGTTGTGTATTGTCCTCAGTTGCACGTTATCATAAAAATAACAAATAAAGCTTAAAAGTAGAGTAGGTATTAGAAAGTTCCTCAAGACAACTGTGGTGAGGAGGGGATCAACCTCGAACCTCGGACCTCTATGTTGATGGATCCTTAAGCCCGACGCTAGGTGTATCAACGGCCTTTATCAGCTCACCCTCCCCCATATGAGGATCTCCAGTCGCCACAACCTCAACTCTTGCCTCAATAGGCTCCTCAGTAGCAATAATCATTTCCGACTCATTAACAAGAGTGTTATCAGTAGCAATAGACTCCATCTTTTGCACCTCCTCTAGATCAGTCCACACCCCAACAGACATTGTCAGTAACGTCTTCTTAAGGACGACTATCATGTAATCAAACTAGGACTGATCCTCTGGTCCCGGACCTTTGCTGCAGTCATCAATGTATGATCACGTACCTCCAAATCTACTCTTAACTACCTGAGCTCACTCTCCATGGTAGTGATCTGCTCCCCATGGCCTTTCTTCTGGAGGTTATATTCATTTAGGTACTGGACATAGAATATGTCATGAAATGGCTTCTTTTTTCCATCAAGTATCACATCTCCCTTCTCGTACAACTTGTACTCTCCAATAATGCAGGCAGGTGTGTACAAAGTAGTGTCCCTATTGCATGTTCTTACATGTCTTAGCTATCTAACTCCTCTATATCTCTCCAATGCTTACATAGACCGATGTCATAAAAGCATGGATGAAAAATACTGGCTTCTATATCACAATGATCTGACTTATTGGTATTCATCTGTTGCATATCCAATTGAGCCAAGTTGGCACCTCCATATTCATGAAAGCCTTTTCTAAACCATTTCTCTTGCTCCAACTAGCAATACTTGGATCTTCGCACTGAGTTGGAAGCATATGAGTTAAGTTCGGTCATGTCTCCTTCCTCCAATAATCTATCATAACCTGATTTGTTGCCCTGTAATACCTATTTATTGCTTTGAATAAATATCAATGTCCACTCTGCGAAGCTTCATAATGTCACCCTGAGTTCATTCCCAATTAGCATACAAATATCTTTGAACAGTCAAGTTAGCCTTGATCTTTGGTCTTTGGGCAAAGCATAACCATTCTCTTTCTTCTATTTCAGCCACTTTGTTGACACATGCATCTTTTGTAGCCTCTAGATTTAGGGGACTTTCTAGCAATTGGGGAAGCACTTGCTCCTTTGATATGCTATAATGTATCCTCCAAGCAAGCTCTCACATAAATTTCTTATCCCGTATCCACTTATCAACCAGAGCAATTGGCTCTCATCTCCCTCGGGCTGTAAAATCTTACCTTAGCATCAGATGTGTCACAAACACCTACTTTACCTTTCCTTTGCCTTTTACCTCGGACTTCTTTTGCTTGTTAGCAGGAGATGGCTTTGAAGATTTCTTTTTAGTTTAGAATGGAACCTCTCTTGTCCTAGACGTTTGTGTCTTTGCCTTTTGTTGTGGTTGCATGGGTGGTTCAATACTCAGTACGATGGCCTCAGTACCCACCTTAGAAGTTCCTCCATGTGTGCTTTCATACCTCAACTTAGTTAGCTTTTCTTTGTTTGCATGTTTCTGCGCATCCTTATTATTAGATGGCTTCTTTGGTTAAGGTTTACCATCTCCTCCCATTCTAGGTGTGCAACTAGGTATCTTAGAAACAACCATTGTACCAGCGAAGAACACCGAATTCATGATAATTTGATCTTAACTTAATGAGTTAAAGTACTACGTGACGCACCCCACACTTAGATCATGAGCGTAAGTGAGAAGACGAGGCACAAGTGACTACCTTAACACAATAACATTCATTTAAAACCATATCATACAATTGAAGTTCAAATAGGCCGAGGTGATGCGCGAGTCGTGTCTAAGTCGGTTAAAACTTGTCCAGAACAAGTGCAATTTAAGTTCAAGTGTTCCCAAATGGCCACTCCACACTTAAGGAATGCTAACAAGTCCATTAAAAGTCTGGTTGCTACTCAAACTTTGCCAAATCTATTGAAAATTTCATTTAGGTATTTTATCGAGCACCTTACGTGCATAGAATTCTTCTCATTATTTCAATACCTTTAATTCGTGAATACCATCCCAATTGTGAGTGATTGGTTGAAACTTTATTTTCCCCCTCACTTGTTCAACAACCAAATCAAACAAACCCAATCTTATGCTCAACGTTTTAACCAACTAATCTAACTACATAAACTAGAAAAATAAGGGAACTATGGATAATCTAAGAGAAGCATAGCAGCAAAGAAACAAGGACGGAAAGAGGAGAGAGGGACAGAATTACCTTGTTTTGGCATGAGAAGGAGAGGAGGGGGGAAGGGTTGATAATGGGGTATGTGGGG